CGCATCTATGGCAGGCGTCCTCAGAGCTTGTGAGTTGAGACTTGGCATGTAATGATCTTGCAGAATTGCTATTCGGTGTCACTTCACTTCTTCAAAGTTATCTTATAGGAACTCCCCTCTTTTGATGATTGTTGCAAGTTGGGATACTTAGCTGTCCTTTCCCCATCTCAGTTTTAAAGGGACATACTGCCTGCGTGTATTCAAGGTTAATTGATTTATCTCTCATCTTTTCATCTGGGTTTGCAAACAGTCTTCATGGGAATCAGGAGTACAGTCATTTCGTTAATATCTGTCTGTTCCTGTGGCTTTAAAGCTCCCAGGTTGCTGGCTCCATGTATATCTTTATTATATAAATTGGCTCTACTTCTACATTAATTTCACGCTTTCTTTTTTTTGGGGGGGGGGGGGGGGAGAACACATCACAATGCAGTCCTTTTCTTGCTTTCCCAGTAGTACGAAAGAGAAGAAAAGAGCAAGGGCAGCTTTTGAGAAACTGCAAGCCGTGCTCCTGGGGTGAATCTAAAATGCTCCTAATGGAAATGGAAGCTGAATGTTGACTGCCTTAAGGCATCGTTGCAGTTACCAGAGCTGTATCCAGATGCCTTCAGAAGCAAGAGTTATGAGGAAGCAAAGGGGAGAAATGAAATCCATTTCGGCTGAATGGATACCCAATGCACAATTCATCCAAGTGCGGACAGCGTCAAGAAGTGGCACTGCAATTGAGGCACTGCAATGAGCAGCATTCCTGTTCAGGATGCCGGCCACATAGAATCATAGAATCAAAGAGCTGGAAGAGACCTCATAGGCCATCCAGTCCAACCCCCTGCCTAGAAGCAGGAATATTGCATTCAAATCACCCCTGACAGATGGCCATCCAGCCACTGTTTCAAAGCTTCCAAAGAGGGAGCTTCCACCACACTCTGGGGCAGAGAGTTCTACTGCTGAACGACTCTCACAGTCAGGAAGTTCTTCCTCATGTTCAGATGGAATCTCCTTTCTTGTAGTTTGAAGCTATTGTTTCGCATCCTAGTCTCCAGGGAAGCAGAAAACAAGCTTGCTTCCTCCTCCCTGTGGCTTCATTTCACATATTTATACATGGCTATCATATCTCCCGGTGGCACAGTGGGTTAAAGCACTGAGCTGCTGAGCTTGTTGATCGAAAGGTTCGATTCCGGGGAGCGGCATGAGCTTCCAACTCTTTGATTCTATGATTCTAAGATCAATAGGTACCGCTCCGGAAGGTAACGGCGCTCCATGCAGTCATGCCGGCCACATGACCTTGGAGGTGTCTACGGACAACGCTGGCTCTTCGGCTTAGAAATGGAGATGAGCACCACACCCCAGAGTCAGACATGACTGGACTTAATGTCAGGGGACTACCTTTATCATATCTCCTCTCAACCTTCTCTTCTTCAGCCTAAACATGCCCAGTTCCTTAAGCCGCTCCTCATAGGTCTTGTTCTCCAGACTCTTGGTCATTTTAGTTGCCCTCCTCTGGACACATTCCAGCTTGTCAATATCTCTCTTGAATTGTGGTGCCCAGAATTGGACACAATATTCCAGGTGTGGTCTAACCAGAGCAGAATAGAGCATGGGGAGCATGACTTCCCTGGATCTAGGAACTATGCTCCTATTGATGCAGACCAAAATCCCATTGGCTTTTTTTGCCACCACATCACATTGTTGGCTCATGTTTAACTTGTTGTCCGTGAGGACTCCCAGATCTTTTTCACACGTCTTTCTCTAGGACAGTGTTTCTCAACCTTCCTAATGCCACGACCCCTTAATACAGTTCCTCATGTTGTGGTGACCCCCAACCATAGCATTATTTTCATTGCTACTTCCTAACTGTAATTTTGCTACTGTTATGAATCATAATGTAAATATCTGATATGCAGGATGTGTTTTCATTCACTGGACCAAATTTGTCACAGATACTTGATATCCCAAACTTGAATACTGGTAGGGTTGGGGGGAGGATTGATATTGTCATTTGGGAGTTGTAGTTGCTGGGAATTATAGTTAACCTACAATTAAAGAGCATTTTGAACTACACTAGTGATGGAATGGATCCAAACTTGGCACACAGAACTCCCACGACCAAGGGTTTGGTGGACATTGACCTTGAGTTCTGGTGTTGTAGTTCACCTACATCTAGAGAGCACTGTGGACTCAAACAATGATGGATCTGGACCCAACTTTGCACGGATACTCAATATGCCCGAATGTGAACACTGGTGGAGTTTTGGGGAAATAGATCTTGATATTTGGGAGTTGTAGTTGCTGGGATTTATAGTTAACCTGCAATTAAAGAGCATTTTGAACTACACCAGTGATGGAATGGATCCAAACTTGGCACACAGAATTCCCACGACCAAAGGTTTGGTGGACATTGACCTTGAGTTTTGGTGTTGTAGTTCACCTACATCTAGAGAGCACTGTGGACTCAAACAATGATGGATCTGGACCCAACTTGGCATGGATACTCAATATGCCCGAATGTGAACACTGGTGGAGTTTTGGGGAAATAGATCTTGATATTTGGGAGTTGTAGTTGCTGGGATTTATAGTTCACCTACAATCAAAGAGCATTCTGAACTCCACCAATGATAGAATTGGCTCAAACTTCCCACATGGAATCCCCATGACCATCGGAAAATACTGTGTTTTCTGATGTCTTTGGTGACCCTTCTGAAACCCCTTTGTGACGCCCTCAGGGTTCCCAACCCCCAGGTTCTAGAACATGATCATATAGCCTGAAAGACTTACAACAACCCAGTGATTCCAGCCATGAAAGCCTTCAACAATACATTATTTATACAATTATGCATGATGTGGAGCAAGTGGGTTCGAAAGAGATTTGCTTCCTCCCTTATGAGAGTAGAACATGGGTTCATCCAGCGAAGCTCAATAGCGGGATAATTGGGGAAAGATGAAATAATGTACTTAATAATAAAACAGCAGGTGGTCAACTGTGGAGTTTGCAATTGCAAACATAAATTGCTTTTAACCTGAATGGCTTCATACAAATTCACAGCTAACAAGATGCTCTGCATAAATATAGCTAAACATTATAATAACTGCCCGTAATCTCTTGTATAAGAGGAATGGAATACAGTATTACCTATAGATATTTATATGCCATCATGAAATCTAAGTTGATGAAGCATGTTAAATCATTATAGTTACGATACAGACCTCTTACAATATTTTAGAAACACTTTAGAAACAATTTGCTGCCACCATCCAATTTAGTAATGAGTACTGAAATATTTTTTTCATTGATTGCACAGGCCTATTAGATGAATCTAATAAATAGATTCATGGATACATCGATAAATGACTATGTATCCATGTATCTCCCTATTAGGCCTGTGTGATCAATAAAAATGTTTCAATACTCATTGCTGAATTGGAATGTGGAATTTCTGACACATGTGGAAAATCTTTCCAGTCTGGGGCTATGATATTTGAGCAGATATGGGCAAACCCAGGCCTGGGGGCCAGGTGCATCCCCTTAGGCTCTTTTCTCAGGCTCTCCTATCTCTTTCACCATCTTATTGTTTCTTCCTTCTCTTTTTCCTTCTTCCTTCCTTCCTTCCTTCCTTCCTTCCTTCCTTCCTTCCTTCCTTCCTTCCTTCCTTTCCCTCTTCTCTCTCCCTCCTTCCCTTTCACCCTTCCTTCTTCCCTCCTCTTTCTTCCTCTCTCCTTCCTTCTTCCTTCTTCCTTCCTTCTTCCTTCCTTCCTTCCTTTCCTTCCTTCTCTCTTTCCTTCCTTCTTACCTCCCTCTTTCTTCCTCCCTCCTTCCCTTTCCTTCCTTCCTTCCTTCCCTCTCCCTTCCTTCCCGTCTTCCTTTCCTTCTTTTCCTTCCCTCCCTCCTTCCTTCCCTCTCCCTCCCTCCCTCCCTCCTCCCTCCTTCCTTCCTTCCTTCCTTCCTTCCCTTCTTCCTTCCCTCCCCTTTTCTTCCTCCCTCCCTCCCTTTCCCTTCTTCCTTCCTTCCTTCCCTCTTCTTCCTTCCTCCTCCTTCCTTTCCACCTTCTTCCTTCCTTCCTTCCTCTTTCTTTTCTTCTCTCTCCTTCCTTCCTTCCTTCCTCCTTCCTTCCTTCCTTCCTTCTTCCTCCCCCTCTTTCTTTCTCCCTTCCTTCCCTTCTCTTCCTTCTTCCTTCCCTCTCTCCTCCCTTCCTTCCCTTTCTTTCCTTCCTTCCTTTTTTCCTTCCTTCCTCCTCCTTCCTTCCCCCTCCTTCCTTCTCCTTCTCCTTCCCTCCTTTCCTCTATCTTCCTTCCTTCCTTCCTTCCTTCCTTCCTTCCTTCCTTCCCTTCCTTCCTTCCTTCCTTCCTTCCTTCTCTTTCTTTCCTCCCTCCCTTCCCTTTTGTCTTTCCTTCATTCTCTTTCCTCCCTCTATTCCCTCCCTCCATTTTGCTGTTGTTAACTGCTTTGAGTTGCCTGAGGGCTGAGAAAAACGGTATATAAATGAAATAAATAAATGAATGAATGAATGAATAAATAAATAAATAAATAATTGTTGACCTACATCCAGAGAGCACTGTGAACTCAAACAGTGATGGGTCTGGACCAAACTTGGCATGGATGCTCAATATGCTCAATTGATAATACTGGTAGAGTTTGGGGAAACAGACCTTGATATTTGGGAGTTGTAGTCACTGGGATTTATAGTTCACCTACAATCAAAGAGCATTCTAAACCCCAGCAACGATAGCATTGGGCCAAACTTCCCACAAAGAACACCCATGACCAACAGAAAATACTGTGTTTTCCAGTGTCCTTTGGTGACCCCTCTGATACCCCCCCTCCAGGTGTCCCCACCCGCAGGTTGAGAAACACTGCTCTAGAAATATATTTTTCTCTCTGTATTTGCTGCACGGAGACTAAGGGTATTTCAAATAATTATGTCTTTCTAACATGAAATATTTCTGCTGAACTGAAGAAAACAGTAGGCAATGTGCTGAAATCTACAAAGGGGAAAAAACTGCAAAGCTCCAACGGGCAATAGTCTTTATTGCATATTTTGATGACAAACCACAAACAGATCAAAATAGCTTGCTGTGTTTTCTCCACTGGAGTTTCTGATTTCTTTCTTCTGACACACAGAGACAATTAGATCACATGGGAGAACAGTTCACATGGGATATACAAAATTATTTGGCACAATCCAGACAAACAGAAGTATTTCCCCCCATATCATTTCCAAAGGGAATGTAAAGCTTTAGTTGTAATCCAAGGGACTTTCTGGTCCCGAAGTCCCTGCTGCTTTTACTGAAACACGGTGGCATATGCCAATTGCATGCACCAAATGCAGGTTAAAGACAAAAGCTGATCCTACATCCAGTTAAACTCTTCAAATCCCACAGATGTCAGTGGGATTAGACAGCCTAATTGAATACGAAGTGGCTGCCAAATTGTTATTTTTTTCCCACTGAACCATCTAGTATTTTTAATACTACTCCAAGAAATGTCAAGGAATTGCATCTAATTCATTCCATTCATTTTTTGTTGGGATTTATTCGTGCCTAACTCGTGCTGAATTGGGAGCTGTTATGGTGATGCACTGTTGACGTTGACATCTTTGTCTGTATTTGTGTCTGAACATGCCATTTTCAGCTCTTCTGGGAATGCGGAAGGATCTGAAATACAAATGGCACCTCTCTCTTTCAAATTTGCTTGACAAAATCATCATGTCAAGTCATGAATTTGGTGCATATATTGGCACGCGTGAGTATTTCTAGTTTCCATCATTTCAGTTCTTCGCTTTTAATTGCCAGCATTCTATTAAAACTTCTGACTTTCCCGGCAGACGTGGCCTTTGGCAAAGCTTACAACACTTCCTCACAAATGGGATTTGATGATTTAGATATTAGCAAGTTTCTTTTTTTCTTCATCTCCTTCTCATCCATCTCGAGCCTTCATTTCCCCAAAGCCACAAACGCAAGCACCGATAAATATTTATCCTGTCCTAGGCTTCGACTTTGTTCGCTGCGGCTAAGAGCGAGGCATAGGCCGAATTGGGATTCTGAACAAGCTCCTCCGGTTTGCCAAACTCCGCCACCTGAAAGTCATTGGGAAAGAGATACAACAAATGTCAGGCACATTAGTAAATGTCAGGGATGAAGCAAGAATACAGAGGGTTTTTTATGAGTTGCTGATAATGTAAAAATCGCCTTGGGGAAGGAGAATGGCAACAAGGGGGGAAAGTTGTAATAGTAATAGATAAGAGTGGAGCCTTCCCCCTCTGCCCCACTATTTCCTTTATTGTGGGTTTTGTTTTGTTTTTTGCTCTACAATCTTGCTCTACACTAATCCCAAAACTGGACACATATCCAGGTTGCTCCTGCTTTCAGTTCCTGTGATTCATCTGTATCTTTAACTTTGTCTACTTTATCGGAAGCATGTGCATATTTTATTTTTTTAAAAGTGGGTGCTAGAAACAAAGCAAAAAGTGGGTGCTAGAAACATTTGTGTGTTGTAATTTTCAATCAAAAAGCAATTTGAACGCCACCAATGCTGGAATTCAACCAAACTTGGCACACAGAACTCCTATGAGCAACAGAAAAGACTGGAAGAGTTTGGTGGGCATTAACCTTGAGTTCTGGAGTTGTAGTTCACCTACATCCAGAGAGCACTGTGGACTCAAACAATGATAGATCTGGACCAAACTTGGCATGAATACTCAATGTGCCCAAATGTGAACCCTGGTGGAGTTTGGGGAAAATAGACCTTGATATTTGGGAGTTGTAGTTGCTGGGATTTATAGATCACCTACAATTAAAGAGCATTCTGAACTCCACCAATGATGGAATTGAACCAATCTTGGTACTCAGAACTCCCATGACCAAGAGAAAATACTGGAAGGGTTTGGTGGGCTTTGACCTTGAGTTTTGGAGTTGCTGGGATTTATAGATCACCTACAATCAAAGAGCATTCTGAACTCCACCAATGATGGAATTGAATTAGTCTTGGTACTCAGAACTCCCATGACCAAGAGGGAATACTGGAAGGGTTTGGTGGGCATTGACTTTGAGTTTTGGAGTTGTAGTTCACCTACATCCAGAGAGCACTATGGACTCAAATAATGATAGATCTGGACCAAACTTGGCATGGATGCTCAATATGCTCAAATGTTAACACTGATGGAGTTTGGGAAAAATAGACCTTGATATTTGGGAGTTGTAGTTGCTGGGATGTAACTATATCATACAATATCATACAAAAGCTGACTGGCACAACCTGGGGATCACAACCAGATACAGTGAAGACATCTGCCCTTGAGCTATGCTACTCTGCTGAGTACACATGCCCAGTGTGGAACACATCTCACCACGCTAAAACAGTGGATGTGGCTCTTTTTTTATATATAAATTTTATTGAGTTTTATAGATTACAGCGAAAGTGGGGGAATAATTCAAGAAGATAGAAAAGTAGGAAAATTAAGAAGATAGTGTCAATAAACCCCGTGTGAAAAAAGTAAAAAGAGAAAAAGAAAAAAAATATCTAAAATAAAAAGAAAATAAAAAAATCAAAAATCAAAAAGTCAAAAAACAAAAAGTTGGACTTCCTTCTGATTCTGCCCGTTCAGTCTTTTCTTTAATCCATGTCTTATATTTAATCCAATCTACATCATCGTTATATCCTCAGTACTGTTATAGGTCCTTATAATTAGTTTCAATATATTCATCAATTATTGACCAGTTAGTCTGTTTGATTGGATTGCCTGTATTCTTTTTTAATAAAAAGGTTAACTTGTCCATGTCCTTAATTTCATTCACTTTGTTTATCCAGAGGAGTTTATCTGGTATCTCTTTCAGTTTCCAAAGTTTCGCAAAGACAATTCTAGCGGCTGTTGTCATATACATGAACAGAATATCCTCATTCGAATCTAATTTTATATCAGCATCTACAATTCCCAAAAAGTAGTATTCTGCTTTTCTTGGAAATTTTTTATTGAGTATTTTCTGCACTTCTTCATGAATATCTTTCCAATACTTCTGAGATTCTACACAGCTCCACCATAAATGGAAAAAGCTGCCTTCATGCTCATTGCATTTCCAACAAGCTTTTGATGCATCCTTATACATATGATTTAGTTTAACTGGGGTCATGTACCACCTATGAAACATTTTCATCCAATTCTCCTTTAAGTCCGTTGCATAGGTATATTTGATTTTTTTCTTCCACATTATTTCCCAGTCTACAGTGGATGTGGCTCTTAATGAGACATGCCGCATTATCACGGGGTGCCTGCGCCCTACACCACTTATTGCACCACCTGACATCCGCTGGGAAGTAGCAGCCAATAGTGAAAGGACCAAGGCAGAGCCATCTCCAGCTCATCCCTTGTTTGGGTATCAGCCAGCACGTCAACGACTTAAATCAAGAAATAGTTTTCTAAGATCTACAGAGACACTCGCTGGAACACCTCAGCAAGCGAGAGTCCAAAAGTGGCAGGCTCAAACCCAAAACCTCAACCAATGGCTGATACCAAATGAGAGACTCCCCCTGGGCACACAGAAGACTGGGCAACTTGGAAGGCGCTGAACAGACTGCGCTCTGGCACCATCAGATGCAGAGCCAATCTTAAGAAATGGGGCTACAAAGTTGAATCCGCGACATGCGAGTGTGGAGAGGAGCAAACCACGACCACCTGCTGCAATGCAACCTGAGCCCTGCCACATGCACAATGGAGGACCTTCTTACAGCAACACCAGAGGCACTCCAAGTGGCCAGATACTGGTCAAAGGACATTTAATCAACTACCAAACTCACACATTTTGTATTTTCTCTGTTTGTTTGCTTTGTTCTGTTAGAAATGTAATATAATTGACTGGCTGCCCTGACACGAGAAATAAATAAATTGGAGGGAAGGATATTCGAGGCAAAGATGAAGTACTTTGGTCACATAATAAGAAGACAGGAAAGCTTAGAGAAGACAATTATGCCAAGAGCAAGATGGGTGGATGGTATCCTTTAAGTGACTGGCTTGACCTTGAAGGAGCTGGGGGTGGCCATGGCCGACAGGGAGCTCTGGCGTGGGCTGATCCATGAGGTCACAAAGAGTTGGAAGTGACTGACTGAATGAATAAGCAACAACAACAACCCTTGAAATAGAGAGGTCTCCATCCCACATTTGGTTCATAATGAAATGAAGATGGTATGGGTTTCATTACCTTTCCACTGTCCATCACCAAAACACGGTCACTGTCATGGATGGTGTTTATCCGATGTGCAATGGTCAGGACCGTACAGTCCACGAAAGCTTCCTGGATGGTCTGCTGAATCTGCGTGTCTGTCTCAGAATCGATGGAGGCGGTGGCTTCATCAAGAAGTATAATCTGGAGGATGAATAAGGCTACTATCAACAGGATACATAGCTATGAGATGTGGCAACAATAGTCTCCTTTTCAACCAGCTTTTCTCAACTGTAGCCCCTCAAATCTGGCTGGCAGAGAGAAAAGGGAACAATGGACAAATGTCCAGCTAATTTTCTTACAATTTATTTATTTACTTATTTATGACATTTATATGCTGCCCTTCTCAACCCGAAAAGGACTTAGAGCGGCTTACAAGATATATATACATACAATATATTAAATTATTAGCATAGTACAATATCAGTATTATATATTACTACATTGTACTATACCATTATATTGTAATATTATTAATATTACATGTAATATAAAATATATAATTATAGTATTGTATTATTAGTAACAGTATTATATTTTATTTTAATACTACTGTTCTGGTACGGCTGTACCAGGAGCTCCAACTTCCTTTTCTTTCTTTGAGTATTTGCATGTATTCCAAAGTTCCATGCATTTTGCAATAAGGTGGCTTCCCTTGGTTTGCAGCCACCTGCCTATCATCGTTGGGTTTTTTAGTTCCGCCCCTTTCCCCAGGGTTCAGGAAGGAAAGGGAGCCATTTTAGCTCAGTCTTACAGTTGAAAGCTTAGCTACAGGACGTGAATCAGCTCCACCTGTAGAGAAGCTTCATTTCAACAGAAATTCCGGGGGGAAACAGTTCCAAAGGACTCCAGCTGGAGAATCTACAAAGCCTTGACTGGTAGGTCTACCCGGGACCCAAGAAGCAGTTTGGAGCCGGGAGTAGAGCCCACACCAGCAAAGTTTAGAAAGTAGATTGCCCAAGGAGGGGTTAAAAAGGGTTTTCCTCTTAAAGAAAAGAAACAGTTCACGAAGCCAGTTGCCTGTCCCTTGTGGACAAGATTAAGAAAGCCACCAGTTGATTCAAAGCCTTTAAGTATTTGTTTGACTTGTTGAAGATCTGAGAAGTATTTGATTGTTTTGTTGAAGACCTAAGCAATAATAAAGGACTTTGTTAAACTTTTCAAGCTTCTAAAGACTGTATAGGAAAATCCTTAGGGCCTCTCAGCTGAGGCACCCCGGCTTCCCGCTGGGCACAAAGAGCATGTCCTGTTCAAAAGCCAATTGCTATAGGCCAGGCTTGACAGCACAGACATACTAATAATAATACAATATTATAATTATATATTTTATATTATATTTATATTGTATTATTATTATTAGTATTATATTTTATTAGGAGCCCCCAGTGGCGCAGTGGGTTAAAGCGCTGAGCTGCTGAGTTTGTTGACCGAAAGGTCGCAGGTTCGAATTCGGGGAGCGACGTGAGCTTCCGCTGTCAGCCCCAGCTTCTGCCAATCTAGCAGTTCGAAAACATGCAAATGTGAGTAGATCAATAGGTTCTGCTTATGCGGAAGGTAACGGCTCTCCATGCAGTCATGCTGGCCACATGACCTTGGAGGTGTCTACGGACAACGCCGGCTCTTCGGCTTAGAAATGGAGATGAGCACCACACCCCAGAGTCGGACACGACTGGACTTCATGTCAGGGGAAAACCTTTACCTTTACTTATATTTTATTATTTATTTATTTACTATATTTATATACCACCCTTGTCAGCCTGAAAGGCGAGGGAACGGTTTACAAATGGCAACAATTCGATGCCTTAGCAGTCATAACAATTAAAAATATAAGAATCATAAAACACCATTAAAAACACCAACATACAATATAAAACTATAAAATATTAATATTATATGTATTTACAATTTATTACATTATATTATATTATTAGTAAAGCACAGGAGACAAGATGGAATGGTCTTCTTCCCCCCCTCTCTTCACTCTGGCCTAGAGCAGCAGTTGGTGCCGGGGGGGGGGGGGGGGTATTTTGGATACAGTGGCCTTGGGGGGGGGGTATTTTGGATGACAGTGGCCTTTTGGGGGGGGGGTATTTTGGATGACAGTGGCCTTGGGGGGGGTATTTTGGATGACAGTGGCCTTTTGGGGGGGGGGATTTGGATGACAGTGGCCTTTTGGAGGGGGGTATTTTGGATGACAGGGCCTTTTGGAGGGGGGGTATTTTGGATGACAGTGGCCTGGGGGGGGGGATTTTGGATGACAGTGGCCTTATGGGGGGGGGATTTTGGATGACAGTGGCCTTTTGGGGGGGTGTTTTGGATGACAGTGGCCTGGGGGGGGGGGGATTTTGGATGACAGTGGCCTTTTGGGGGGGGGTATTTTGGATGACAGTGGCCTTTTGGAGGGGGGGGGTACTTTGGATGAAAGTGGCCTTTTGGAGGGGGGGTATTTTGGATGACAGTGGCCTTGGGGGGGGGTATTTTGGATGACAGTGGCCTTTTGGAGGGGGGGGGTACTTTGGATGAAAGTGGCCTTTTGGAGGGGGGTATTTTGGATGACAGTGGCCTTTGGGGGGGGTATTTTGGATGACAGTGGCCTTTGGGGGGGGGATTTTGGATGACAGTGGCCTTGGGGGATTTTGGATGACAGTGGCCTTTTGGGGGGGGGGTATTTTGGAAGCCCCTGCGAATGATCCCAACTGTTCTATATCTAACTATATGAAAATAGATTGACACTTTTCTGCTGCTCTCCCTTTCATTGATTACAAAATCTGGGTTTGGGAGGTTGCAGTTGAGAAAGTTGGGGTTTTGAATTAACTTCTATATTTACCATTGTTTTAATTGTATATTTTCATTCATAAAAGAAGCCACATTGAATCCCATATTAAGAGAAAGACAGTATATCAATCAATCAATCAATCAAAACAAGAGTAGAGAGGCATAGAGTTGAGCTGAGCTTTGGGTGCAATGTATTGTCGAAGGCTTTCATGGCCAGAATCACTGGGTTGTTGTAGGTTTTTTTCGGGCTGTATGGCCATGTTCTAGAGGCATTCTCTCCTGATGTTTCGCCTGCATCTATGGCAAGCATCCTCATAGGTAGTGAGGATGCTTGCCATAGATGCAGGCGAAACGTCAGGAGAGAATGCCTCTAGAATATGGCCATATAGCCCGAGACACACCTACAACATCCCTTTAGGTGCAAGCTGGAAATATTCATATTTGCTTGGAATTACTATCCAGCCTTCTCTACTCGATGCTCTGCTCATTGCAGGACTGTGTTGTCACTTTCGTATGTACGGGAAAATATGCCAAAATATGTTTCTATACATTTGAACTGCACTATAATTTCAGCAGTCTATCATATTAATGAGATGACATAAATCTGCGGAAAAAAGAACACAACACTGACAAATAAAGAAGTGATGAAGTATCTGTCGAGGAGAAAACAAAGATCCAGAGGAAAATTTGAATCAGACAGTTATTGAAGCAGACTTTTATAGAGCCAAAGCCCGAGATGGTCCAGTACTTAGTGCTGAATTTACTTGTTGCAGACAGCCTTTTCTAGCATGCAAAGTCAGGAGGCATTTTGATGACAGTATTGAGGAGAAGTATAGTGTTACGAGCCAGCCCAAAACATTTTTGCTGTGCAAATGGCACCTCTCCTATTTTTTTTAATTTATTTTTAAAAAACAGATAAATCTTTTGTCAATAGCTCCTTGGAGGAAGAACATGATAAAACTGTAATTGAACTCTCTCTCTCTCTCTCTCTCTGTCCCCTGCCACATGTTGCTGTGGCCCAGTCTGTTGATCTGGCAAATAAAGTAATGAGAAAGTGTTGGTTTCTAATATATGTAATGTCTTGATGCTTGTGGGTAAACAGTATTGTGGAGATTGTCTGGTTTGCCTACTCTGGAACATGCAACACAGAATTGTCCTTCTTTAGGGGTCTCTTTCAAATCTATGATACTATATCTCTCTGTGTGTGAATCATATCTATCTATCTATATCTATCTATCTATCTATCTATATGGCTGGATGGCTCTCTGTCAGGAGGGCTTTGATTACATTTTCTTGCCCTGGTGAAGGGAGTTGGACTCAATGGCCTTAAGTATTTTCTGTTGGTCATGGGGGTTCAGTATGGAAAGTTTGGCCCAATTCTGTCGTTCGTGGGGTTAAGAACGCTCTTTGATTGTAGGTGAACTGTGAATCTCAGTGACTACAACTCCTAAATGTCAAGGTCTATTTCCCCCAAACTCCATTTGTGTTCATATTTGGGTGTATTGAGTGCTTGTGCCAAGTTTGGTCCAGATCCATCATTGTTTGAGTCCCCAGTGCTTTCTGGATGGAGGTGAACTACAACTCCCAAACTCAAGGTCAATGCCCACCAAACCTTCCAGTATTTTCTGTTGGTCATGGGAGTCCTGTGTGCCAAGTTTGGTTCAATTCCATCGTTGATGGAGTTCAGAATGCTCTTTGATTGTAGGTGAACTATAAATCCCAGCAACCACAACTCCCAAATGACAAAATCATAATTTTTTGAGTGATGGTCACTCCTTGTGTTGTGAGATGTTTTGTTGCCAAATTTGGTGTGATTTCGTTCATTGGTTCTTTTGTTTTTAAGGTCATATAGGGCATATAGATATAGATATAGATATAGATATAGATATGGGGACACACACACACATATATACACATAGTTAAAGGTATCCTCTTGACATTAAGTGTAGTCATGTTCAGCTCTGGAAGGTGGCGCTCATCTTCATTTCTAAGCCAAAGAGCTGGCGTTGTCCCTAGACAACTCCAAGGTCATGTGGCCAGCATGACTACATTGGAGGCATTTACCTTTCCACCAAAGCGGTACCTATTATCTACTCACATTTCCATGTTTTCGAACTGCTAGGTTGGCAGAAGCTGGGGCTAACATCGGGAGCTCACCCCACTCCCCAGATTCGAACCACCAACCTTTCAGTCTGCAAGTTCAGCAGCTCAGTGGTTTAACCATATATATATGTGTGTGTGTGTGTGTGTGTATGTATATATATTCCTATCTAAAATGTATTAGTGGGTACATTGGCCATAAATACATAGTATGTATTTATAGAATGTCTTCTTGGGCTCCTCCCTCACAAATACACTTTTTTGTATTTCTATCTCACCCAGGGTTTTAACATTGTATCTCGTGCATTTGGCCCGCCCTTGTGTTTGACTTTTATTATGTTATTTTGCACTGTTTATTTTATTTTGTTATTTTATGTATTTTGTTGTGAGGTCATTTTTCTGTTGTTTTGTGTCTAATTACGCTGTATTATTTTTCGGCTTGGTCTCATGTTTGCCGCCCCGAGTTCCCTTTGGAGAGATGGTGGCGGGTTATAAATAAAGATGAATATGATGATGATGATGATGATGATTACTATTATTATTATGTGTGAATTGTTCTTTCCACAGCAATTGCAAATTATTGAATGGTGCATAGAATTGAAACAAAAGGCCACTCATGTATTCAAGACCAATCGAAGTACAGGCTGAGAATCTCTTTTCCAAAATACTTTAGACTGAAAATGTTTTGGATTTTGAGATTTTTTTGGTCCGATTTTGTCTATTTGCGTGCACATAATGAAATATTTTGGAGATGGCCCCAAGGCGAAACATGAAATTCATGTGTGTTTCATAGACACCTTATCCTGAAGGTAATCTTATGCAAGGTGCTTTTAATCATTTTGTGCATGAATCAAAGTTTGCATACACTGAACCATCGGAAAGCCAAGATGCCACTATGTCAGTCACCCAAGCGGAAAATTTGGGGTTTTGGAACATTTCGGATCTTGGATTTCCATTTAAGAGATACTCCACCAGTCATGCCTAATCTTACTTTTGAATTTTGAAGGAGAGCCCTTGCCATGCAGAGTAGCTGCCGTTCCCCGACGGAGAAGTTTTCTCCATTTTCCACAACCTTTGCTTCCAGCTTTCCTGGCAGCTTTGAGACCTAGAAGATAAGGGAAATGCCACTGAGATAATATTCTCAATTATTTGTAATACACACACTACAGAGCTCAGACAACCCTTTTTGACACAGCGTCCCTGGTCCCTGTCAAGTAAGGTGATGTATGCATAAGGGAGAAATTATTTAAAAGGTGCTTTAATATTTGCTGGCAGGATTAGGAGTGTGGAAGGGAAGTGCCTCGTGAATAAAAAGACCCATAAAGAAGCTGAGCATGTAAAGTTTTAGCATTTGCAGGCATTTCTGTATCATAATCAGTCTATATATTTAGGAGAGAAGCCAAGGAGAATGGTAATGGTTTGCATATCCCTTCTTCCAAACACTTTGGACCAGAAATGTTCTGGATTTTGGATTTTGGAATACAGTGGGCCCTCACATTTGTAGGTTTGACTTTTGTGGACTTGATTACACTATGGAACACGATTTTTGTCCTTGCGTGTTTTTTGCGTGTTCACCTCGAAGGGGACTCAGAGCAGCTTACAAGAAATATATACATACAACATATGATATTATTGGCATAGTACGGTATCAGTATTATATATTACTATATTGTACTATTTAACTACACTTGGTGGACCATTATGCACATGTAGACCATAATGACGGAAACCTGCTACAAAACAGGAGCTTTTTTGTTGATTCCAGGGCCAGAGAAGCAGATGGCGGAAACAGAAGAACGGCCTGCCTCAGGGGAGCGTGCTTGCTCCATCCATGTTCAACATCTACACAAATGACCAGCCACTGCCAGAAGGGACAGAGAGTCAATGGGATTTTGGCCAGCATTAATAGCACACCCCTAAATAGGAGAACCTTTAGAAGCTTTCCAAGCTCTAGGTGCTCTTACTGCCTATTACAGGGAAAACCAGCTGATCCCCAACCCATCTAAAACACAGACATGCCTTTCATCTCAAGAACAGACAAGCATCCCGAGCTCTGAAGATCACCTGGGAAGGAATCCCACTGGAGCATTGCAGCGCACCCAAATACCTGGGAGTCACTCTGGACCGTGCCCTGACCTAAAGAAGCACTGCCTGAACATCAAGCAAAAAGTGGGTGCTAGAAACAATATCATACGAAAGCTGACTGGCACAACCTGGGGATCACAACCAGACACAGTGAAGACATCTGCCCTTGCGCTATGCTACTCTGCTGCTGAGTATGCATGCCCAGTGTGGAACACATCTCACCACGCTAAAACAGTAGATGTGGCTCTTAATGAGACATGCCGCATTATCACAGGGTGTCTGCGCCCTACACCACTGGAGAAATTACACTGCTTAGCCGGTATTGCACCACCTGACATCCGCCGGGAAGTAGCAGCCAATAGTGAAAGGACCAAGGCAGAGACATCTCCAGGTCATCCCCTGTTTGGGTATCAGCCAGCACGTCAACGACTTAAATCTAAAAATAGTTTTCTAAGATCTACAGAGACACTCGCTGGAACACCTCAGCAAGCGAGAGTCCAAAAGTGGCAGGCTCAAACCCAGAACCTCAATCAATGGCTGATACCAAATGAGACTCCCCCCTGGGCACACAGAAGGACTGGGCGACTTGGAAGGCGCTGAACAGACTGCGCTCTGGCACCACGAGATGCAGAGCCAATCTTAAGAAATGGGACTACAAAGTGGAATCCACGAACATGCGAGTGTGGAGAAGAGCAAACCACTGACCACCTGCTGCAATGCAACCTGAGCCCTGCCACATGCACAATGGAGGACCTTCTTGCGGCAACACCAGAGGCACTCCAAGTGGTCAGATACTGGTCAAAGGACATTTAATCAACTACCAAGCTTGCAAATTTTGTATTTTGTCTGTTGTTTGTTTTGTTCTGTTAGAATTGTAATACAATTGACTGGTTTCCCTGACACGACAAATAAATACTATATTGTACTATACCATTATATTGTAATTATTATTATTATTACATGTAATATAAATATATAATTAGAATATCATATTATAATTATTAGTATTATGTTGTATTACATAATATTATAAATATTATATGTATTTATGTCATTTCCTCATTGGATCTATCACAAAAACATGGGGAAAGTTTATTAAACTGCAAAAAGTACAGCACATTTTGCTAAAGTTTTTCAATGAATATCTGATAGAGTTTCAACCCATTCACCATAGTTCATGGCAATGGTTGCCAACCTTTGGGCCTCCAAGTGTTTTGGACTTCAGCTCCCACAGTCCCCAACAGCTGGTAAGATGGCTGGGATTTCATTGAAAAACTTTAGCATCATGAATGAAGAATGAAGATGTTCTCTGTGGTCAGTTAATATCAGTCAATAACCAGTGTGATGGAAAAAGAAACCAAAAGCATATAAACATACTGTGCCTTTCATAAAAGTTCTTTGCAGAGCTTGCCAGATCTGATCATCTGTGTGTTCATTAAAAGGATCCATGTTGTACCTGAAAAGAACATATTAGTAAGAGAGATGGGCATTGCTCACTTCAATCAAACGTTTTGAAACAGCAGTGTTTTTAGAGGACTGTTTCACAGATGACTATTTTGCTCCCATTGTTTTCCCCAGTTTTGCAAGAAATTGCACCTCAGTTATAATGCTACTTCTAGATCCTATACACTATTCCATTTCCTTTTCTTCAGGATTATCCACTGTTGATACAGCTATCAAAACAATTAATTACTCTGGCCAACACACACTTTGGTGACACAAATATTTCTAGGTATATTTGACCTGTTGATTTTTTAAAAATGGTACCAGTTTTCCCCTATCAGCGATAGCTTTTGAGATACAGAACATATGCCATCTACTAGCCACTATCTGCTCGCCCATATAAAACCATGATAACCATATCCAAGAAACTACAGCTGATGCAGTCTACCCAATGCAATTTTCTGAATCAGTGCCCCAAATAAACCCTGGAATAGGTCTAAAAACTAAGTTGAGCTGTATTCAAAATAGATATCGAATTTTCTGGTGTATTAAAGGTAAAGGTAGTCCCCTGACATTAAGTCCAGTCATGTCTGACTCTGGGGTGTGGTGCTCATCTCCATTTCTAAGCCAAAGAGCCGGCGTTGTCCGTAGACACCTCCAAGGTCATGTGGCCGGCATGACTGCATGGAGCACTGTTACCTTCCCGCCGGAGCGGTACCTATTGATCTACTCACATTTGCATGTTTTCGAACTGCTAGGTTGGCAGAAGCTAGGGCTGACAGCAGAAGCTCACGCCGCTCCCCGGAATCGAACCTGCGACCTTTCGATCAACAAGCTCAGCAGCTCAGTGCTTTAACCCACTGCGCCACCGGTGTATTAGACAACTTTGTCTGGTGTATTAGACAACTTTATAACCCTGGAAAACCTCATGAAAAGTTGGGGGTCATCCAGTATTCCGGGTTTAAAGAATAATGATTAAAAGAAAAGGATAAAATCCAACTACCTTAGTGGTACGGCTTGAGGAGGAGGAGGAGGAGGAGGAGGAAGGAGGAAGGAGGGACAGGGAGGTGGAGGAAGAGGAAGAGGAGGAAGGAGGGGAGGTGGAGTGGCAGGCCGTATTGTGTCATGTATCATGTTCTGCAGTTGGTGGTGGTTGATGGTGGTAGACCTAGCACTTGGTGATGGGTTAATGTAAGTTTTAGTTCTAAAGGCTTGAGTAATCTGTAAGTAAGAGTTCATGGGTGAAAGCAATTAAGGGTGGAGGTATGCAAGAGATAGGTTGCAGCTGGGTGTTTCTGGATATAAGGAGCGAGCCTTGGAATGAATCTTTGGGAGAAAAGTATTTGTCTTATTTTGGTGGTAGATGCTGCTGGTTTCCCCCCATGTCTCTGGATTTTCGGTATCCTGACCTGTTTCCTGTACTCTTGGAACCCCTGAATCTCTGGACTGGCTTTTGACTACGGAATAGACTCTTGATCCCTGGAGTTTGCTCACTGAACTCTCGGTATTTGACCACTGGACTGGAGCTTTTGTATCAGTTTTTGTTTCTGTGGCTGAGTGCTATCTTTATGTTTTTTGTTTTGGACTATTAAAACAGCCAGAAAGTAAGTGCTATTTTAATTAAATTGTTGATACCAATTGGGTGTTTGTTTGATTCACCTCTGCCTAAATAACGGCAGAGCCCTGGCATCATGCCATATTTCCACGGAGACCAGCTGGGGGTGATGGCCTGCTGGGCTGTCCCCACGGACCCCGCCATTCTTCTCACTCTACTTTCAAGGCCCTCTTCCGCCCCTGACGCTCACCTACTCCAAAGGCCACTGGGTTTGCCTTGGCCCAAGGGAGCTTGGATGTGCTCATTGAGGCATTCTGGGAACCATATGAATCAGGGAACAACAGCTCCTAGAATGCCTCAATGAGCACATCCCAGGCATGCCACTGCCGGGGCTGCTGGGAGTCGTCGTCCGGAGGCACTTCCTTGAGCCTAGGCAAGCCCAGTGGCCTTCAGAGGAAGTGGGGCGGGTGGAGGAGGGACTTGAAAGTAGAGTGGGGAGGGCCGCGGGGACAGCCCAGTGGGCCATTACCCCTGGCCGGTCTCTGTGGAATGTGGAGTAGTCTTAAATGGTGAGTATATCCCTAACTCTGTATTTTGTCTTGAAAAGTTGGAGGTCGCCTTATACCCCCAGTCGTCTTGTATGCTGGAAAATACGGTACATTGTGAATGGTATCTATTGTAAATGCAGTTTGACAACGTCAAAGCGCTATCAAATAGCATTCATTCTACAGTGTAGATGCATCTGAGTCAGAACAATTAAGGATAGATTTATTCTAAAGTGTGAATGGCTCAAAGTAGCTCTAGGGATATCCATGACTAAACAGAGATTCAAACTCCGTCTACATATAATGCAGTTTGAATCCGCATCATCACCATCACCATGATTTTTAATTTATTACCCATATCTCCTTTTGGCTCAGGGCCAAACTATGTTATGAATCTAAACTAACCGTATAATGCAATGTCAAACTGCATTATATGACAGTGTAGATGGGGCCCCAGAGTCCTACTCCTGCACTGAAACTATTTTATCATGCTGACGTTCGAAAATACACGCATAGACCCATATAATCCAATGTGCATAATTTAATGCATGCTGTTGGGATCTCGTATAAAATCAAGCAATTAACCTCCTGAGCTGGGGTCACGCATATAATGATTTTGTTATCTTTCAGTGTTATATTCATTGCCTGGAATGGGAAAAGCAGGACATATATACCTGACAGACAGAGAAGATAAGTTTGCTCCTGTCCTGCTTTCACAACTGGAGTGCACAAGCTCACTGTGTGTGTGGCAGGGAAGAACCCTCTCACTATTTATTTTACTATCCCATTTACGAGGCAGCCTTTGCATTTCTTTCTCATCTCCCCTTGTGTCTCCTGACAAAATGAGCATCAAATTTTCTCGGGGGGGGGGGGGATCCATCCAGTTGCGGAGAGCATGTTGACTCAGAGATATGTCCCTCGACCGAGCTGTAGCTTGAATCCTACTATGCTCAGAAGTCAGACCCATTGACCTGCATAGGGCTTGGCCATCAGAGATGATGTGTTTAAAGGATAACTGATATATGTCCTGAAGTGGAAGGCTTCTTGTTTAACTGGCCCGGTATCACATCAAATCTGTCTGGCTACATGCAGCCTTTTCTTTGTATATTTCTCCTATGGATAACAAAATCCATGGATAGTCAAGTCCCATTGCATACAGAGCCATAGTAAAATGGCACTTCTATATAAATAAAAATGTAATGTTCGTTTGTGGGATTAGCATAATTCAAAAACCACTGGACTAATTGACACCAAATTTGGACACAAGACACCTCTCAGGCCAGCAAGTGACAATTTCTTGTAAAAACACTGGAAAACATAGAAGAAGAGGCTTAAAAAGCCAAAAAACAAAAAAATACAACGCATGCAAAACCACATATATACATGCAAACACACACATATACACATATACACAAATATATACACATATATATGCATATATACACACAAAACACATATACCCAGAAAGGGGGAAGGAAGGAAGGAAGGAAGGAAGGAAGGAAGGAAGGAAGGAAGGAAGGAAGGAAGGAAGGAAGGAGAAAATGAAGGAGAGAAAGAGGGAAAGAAGAAGGGAAGGAGAGAAGGAAGGAAAGAAAGAAAGGTAGAAAAGCAAGGAAGGAGAGAYGGAAATAAAAAAGTGAAAGAAGGAAGGAAAGAGAGAGGGAAGGAAGGAGAGAAGGAATGAAAGAGAGAAAGAGGGAGAGAAGGAAGGAAGGAAAGAGACAAGGAAGGATGGAACCAAAGAGCAAAGGAAGGGAGGAAAAACAGATAGAGAGGGAAGAAAGWAGGGAAAGAGAGGGGGAAAGAAGTGGGAAGGAAGGAGAAAGAAAGAAAGAAAGAAAGAAAGAAAGAAAGAAAGAAAGAAAGAAAGAAAGAAAGAAAGAAAGAAAGAGGGAAGGCTGGCCACAGCAATGCATGGCAAGTACAGCTAATCTTACATAAAATAGCAAACAACTTAAAATGAATGTTGAAGAGGGCCTAAGGTTTTTGTGAAATGATGGGAGGTTAAAGCAGCATATGCTACACATAGTGCTCAACATGTCGCAAAAAAATTGCTTGTTTTGGAAACAAAAACATTTTGATTATTTTTGAGTTATAGTTGGTGGAATCCATGGATATAAAATCTGTGAATACAGAGGACTGACTTTTAGGGTTGTAGTTTCGGGGTAAACCTTGCCGTTTCATGTCCCAGCTTTTGTGTCCCCCCCCCCCCCCCCAGATCTGTTCTTTGTGAGACTCCTGAAATCGAGAGGATTGTTTTGGGTTCTTTCGGTTCAGGCCCCCGAAAATTGGACCACTATGGGGGGGGGGCTTCCCACCCATTGGCTCCCCTGCCTCGTGTGCATTCTTCTTACCTGGCACCTGCTGTTTCTACTCCAGAGTCAAAGGCACTCAGCTATAGGCACTGGCAGGTGTGCATGCTTTCCGGGCCTGCCTGCATGCCACGTCACACACACATTCCCTTTGGAAAGAGAGTATGTGCATGGTGGGGTGTGCAAGCAGGCCCAGAAAGTTTGCACACCTGCCAGTGCCTGCAGCCGAGTGCCTCTTGCTCTAGAGCAGTGGTTCTCAACCTGGGGTCCCCAGATGTTTTTGGCCTACAATTCCCAGAAATCCCAGCCACTTCACCAGCTGTTAGGATTTCTGGGAGTTGGAGGCCAAAAACATCTGGGGACCCCAGGTTGAGAACCACTGCTCTAGAGTAAGTGGTGCTCAGCTGCAGGTGTGCTCCAGGCCTGCCTGCACACTACACCACACACGCCTCACCGCACTTAGCGAGAGTGCATGTATGGTGGGGCATGCAGACAGTGTTGTGGTTCAGTGTGATGAGAGTGATGGGATTCAGATTCCTGGCTGTTTTTCTGTGTCTCAGCCCGAGGCTCTCACAGACAGAGGAGATTCAAGCAAGCGGTTCTCACAGGAAAGGAATGCCAATAAGGGAGTTAGCACCCAGGTGTCTTCCTTCCTACACTGATAGTGAAGGCCTTGATCTGTAGACGAGAGGCCAGGTTGGGGAAAGGTCATGGGACCACTGTGAGAGCAGGATGTTTTCATGATTAGAAAAAGGTATTTAGGCTTCTCACAAAGGAAGCGAAATTGTCAGTTCAACGTAGCTTATTAGCCTGAAACCTTCATGGAATGACCTTAGCCTGGACTTCTTGCATTGTGATTCTTGGGGCAAATGTCTCCTTGCTTGTACCTGGGACTCTGGTTTGAACTTTGCCAATAGGATTATGTCTCCGGCTTTTACTTGAAGATCTTTGGAACTGTATCCTGCATTTAACCTTAATCTTTGAAACTTTGCAATGCTTATTCTTTATTTTGACTTGGATTTTTTCCTCAATAAACTATAAAGCTTCAGCTCTTGTGTGGTGGTGTTTGGAAGCAAGGTGAAGCCTACCCTGAGTTGCAACAGACAGGCCCGTAGCGTGCCTGCAGCTAAGCTCCAGAACTGCCTGCCTGCATGTCCTATCACACATGCACTCTGTTTCCAAGACAAGGAGGCAAGTTCGGTTGCGAATGAAAGCAGGCTTTCATGTCAAGTGGTTTTTTTGTGTGGGAAGGGGACTTCCCGTTTCGTGCTTCCGAAGTAATGGAAGACATGAAAGAAATGGTAGAAACAAATTCTGCACACAACTCTACTGATTGTACTATTATTCCTCTTTCGCTGCCATATGATTCCATAAGACGGAACTGTGGAAATTAAAATGGAGTAATGTAACAAACAATTGTGCTGTAATTGTATGGTGTGGAAGGGTCCAAAAAGAAACAGAAAGACCAAGAGTGTATCTATACTAGCTTTCCCCTGCCACGCGTTGCTGTGGCCCAGTCTGGTGATCTGGAAATGAAGTAATGAGAATGTGTTAGTTTCTAATATATGTAATGTCTTTATGCTTGTGTGTAAACAGTATTTCTTGTTGTTTCTTTGCCAGTATTGATGTGGAGTTTGTCTGGCTTGCCTACTCTGGAACATGCCACATATCATTGTCCTTCTTTAGGGGTCCCTTTGAAATCTTTGATACTGCATCTGTCATATACATATATGTGTGTGTGTGAATGGCTGAATGGCCCTTTGTCAGGAGGGCTTTGTTTTGTTGCCCTGGTGAAGGGAGCTGGACTGGATGGCCTTAAGGCAGCATTTCTCAACCTGGGAAGTCAATACACCAAGGGGGGGGGTCACCAGGGGGGTGTCAGAAGGGTCACCAAAGACCACCAGGAAACACAGTATTTCCTGTTGGTCATGGGGATTTTGTGTGGGATGTTTGGCCCAATTCCATCATTTGTGAGGTTCAGAATGCTCTTTGATTGTAGGTGAACTATAAATTACAGCAACTATAACTCCCAAATGTCAAGGTCTATTTTCCCCAAATTCCATCTGTGTTTATATTGGGGCATATGGAATATTTGTGCCAAGTTTGGTCCAGATCCATCATTGTTTGAGTCCACAGTGCTCTCTGGATATAGGTGAACTACAACTCCCAAACTCAAGGTCAATGCCCACCAAACCTTTCCAGTATTTTCTGTTGGTCATGGGAGTTCTGTGTGCCAAGTTTGGTTCAATTCCATCGTTGGTGGAGTTCAGAATGCTCTTTGATTGTAGGTGAGCTATAAATCCCAGCAACTACAACTCCCAAATGACAAAATCATAATTTTTTGATTGATGGTCACTCCTTGTGTAGTGAGACATTTTGTTGCCAAATTTGGTGTGATTTCGCTCATTGGTTTAAGGTACTCATTATGCACAGAGCATTTTTATATAGAGAGATTGTACACTTAATGTATTTTGACACCTTAACTACCATAGATCAATGTTATAGAATCCTAGGAGTTGTGGTTTCACAAATCTTGAGCCTGGCAGTTAAAAGTGGAGTCAAACTCCATCCATTCTATAGTGTAGATTCCCCCCAAACAGAGTCAGCTGATTTTAGATCTACCTGGCAAATAAAAAGGTTGTTAGGGTGACACTAAAATGATTGTGATGTAGTTTCCCTTGCCAGTTTTATGGAGTGGAGTGTCACATCTAAGAATGCTCCTTCCCTTTCTGGCACGTAGTATACCCAAATTATTTAGAAAAGAGTTTCCCCCCAAATAATCCTAAATATTAGTGGTTAGGCTTTGCTTTTTTGCAAGAAAGGGTTAATTGATAATTGCAACAACAGCTACCTTACTGTACCTACAAACAGAACAGGATCTTGAGGAATCACCGACAGCTTCGTCCGCAGCGATTCCAGGCTGATAGTGCAGATATCGACACCATCAATGAGAATGGTACCAGCAGTTGGTTCCACTAGTCGGAATAGGGCAGACCCCAAAGATGACTTCCCTGAAAGAGTTGAAACGACCATTTCAAGCATGGAACCCTCATGTCACAATCATGATCCACATGTAAACCCATACCAACATATCCAACAATATAAGTGCAATGGAGAGTGGGATGTGCAAGAATGAGAGTGGGATGTGCACAAGAACCACAGTTCCTCCCGTTATGAAATACAGAGATTGGCAGAACATAAGCAAACATCCTACCAGAGCCAGTGCGGCCAACAATCCCAATCTTTTCTTTGCCATGGATTGTCACATTTATGCCATGAAGCACAATGGGGCTGTTCTCTCGGTATCTCATCTGGTAGTTCTTAAACACGATTTCACCTTTGTCCGGCCATTCTGCAGGAGGGACCATGACCATCGTACCCTCTTTGACCTCAGGAACACATTGCTGAAAGAAACAGAGAGAGATGTGGGGAATCGCATTAATCTTCCTGTAGCAGGGATTGTGGACAAAGTGCTTTTGAACATATCTATCCTGGACCATTAAAGCAAGTATTCATATTGGTTACATCACTAAGAGGCAAGCTGGAGAACATGTGGCTTTCTGGATCTGATTGAACTGCTAGTTCCCATCAGATCTATTATTTATGTATTTATTTATTTATGTATTTATTTACAGTATGTATATTCCGCCCTTCTCACCCCGCAGGGGACTCAGGGTGGATTACAATGTACATATACATGGCAAACATCCAATGCCATAGATACATAACATATATAGACAGACACAAAGGCAATTTAACTTTTCATGATGGTATTCTGACCACCTTACAGTGCATTTGTGACACTGATGAAGTACTTCCTCATTCTTTGAAAGCTTGCTGGAGATTTTTATGGCATCATAAATTAGTTAATTTAGCCTCCCCGCATARGCGGTACCTAAATTTCCTACTTGACAGATGCAACTATCTTTTGGGCTGCAAAGGCCGACAGCAAGCTACACAWATTGGTTGGACACTCACTCCGACCCAGGCTAGCTTTGAACTCATGACCTTTCAGTCAGTAGTGATCTWAATGCAGCTGACTCCCAGCCAGCTGTGTCACAGTCCCGGTCTAGCCAGTACAGATAATGTTGAGACTTCATAGGAGCTTCACACTAGTYAGCTAGCATCATTGGAAGGTCTACGAGTTACTCAACTAGGGTTTAGAGCAGTGGTCCTCARCCTGTGGACCACTGGTTGGGGACCACTACTCTAAACCCTAGTTGAGTAACTTGTAGACCTTCCAATGATGCTAACTAACTAGTGTGAAGCTCCTACAACTCCCAGAAATCCCAGCCAGTTTACCAGCTGTTTGGATTTCTGGGAGTTGAAGGCCAAAACATCTGGGGGACCCACAGTTTGAGAACCACTGCATTAAAGAATGCCTGAGTTTGCAATAATTGTGAAAGTAGATTTTTCATAACCTGGGGCAAGATCTGTCACATCCCACCCCAAAGGTCTACACATTTCCAGTATTTTGAAGAACCGTTCGCTGTAATGATGGATGGTGGCGTTCTGATCAGTGCAGAAAAAGGATAGCACTATGTAACATGATTTTGTTCTTGAACTATAAATGTAATTTCCAAATTGGTTCTATCATTTAAAAAAAACATGAAAAAGGTTTATTAAACTGCAAAAACTGTGCCTTTGCAGGAGGAACATCCTGCTATAGCACATTTTGCTACAGTTTTTCCAATGACTATCTCATTTCATGCTCCTTGATTCGTGGTTGGGCACTGGACCACTCTCAACAACCACCATGTCAGACTACACAGAGAAGCCATTGAAATCCACAAGCATGTGGACAATTTCAACAGAAAGGAGGAAACCATGAAAATGAACATAATCTGGCTACCGGTATTAAAAAAAAACTCTAAAATTACAACAGCACAACAACAGAGAGGAAACAATCAGGGACATCTAATCACCTCTCAACAAAAGATTGCCCCAGGCACTGCCAGGCCATCAAATGCTAATCAAGGTGGTCAGTTGAAACATTCACACCTAGCTCCAACAGACAAGAGTCCTTTGTCCCACCCTGGTCATTCCACAGATATATAAATTTTTCCTAGTTCCAACAGACCTCACTACCTCTGAGGATGCTTGCCATAGATGCAGGCGAAACGTCAGGAGAAAATGCCTCTAGAACATGGCCATATAGCCTGAAAAAACCTACAACAACCCAATTCAACATAGTTTGTGACAACCACAAAAATGAAGTTTCTGGGGTCAAACAACTACTTTCAAAGCAAGTAGTTTAACTGGAAATAATACTTTCAAACCAGGAACAGAAAAGTTTTCAAATTTTGTTCCATAGTGTAATTTCATGAGATGTTCTTAGGCATTTAATTTTCAAAAGTGATTTCATCACTTCCTTCGTCTGAAGTACAGCCTACAGTACCTGGTGTTCATTGGAAGTCAGTCACCTATCCAAGTAGCTTTTCAAGACTGGACAGAATTGTGTTCTCGTTAAGATATTTCGATTCTCTGTCTGTCTTACCGTTATATATTCCGTAATCTGCTCCACAGAAGTGAATTTGGCTTCTGTCTCTGTTCCTGTTCTCACACATACTTGGAGAAGTCCACTTAGCTAAAAAGGAATAAACAGATGTTGATGTTAAACTTTTTGTAAGTGTTAGCTATGAAAAAGACAGGATGTTGATGGAGGAGGAGGAGGAGGAGGAGAAAGGAGAAGGAGAAAGGGAGAAGGAGAAAAGGAGAAGGAGAAAAGGAGAAGGAGAAAAGGAGAAGGAGAAAAGGAGAAGGAGAAAAGGAGAAGGAGAAGGAGAAAAGGAGAAGGAGAAAAGGAGAAGGAGAGAAGGAGAAAAGGAGAAGGAGAAGGAGAAAAGGAGAAGGAGAAAAGGAGAAAAGGAGAAAAGGAAAAGGAGAAGGAGAAAAGGAGAAGGAGAAAAGGAGAAGGAGAAGGAGAAGGAGAAAAGGAGAAGGAGAAAAGGAGAAGGAGAAGGAGAAAAGGAGAAGGAGAAAAGGAGAAGGAGAAAAGGAGAAGGAGGAGAAGGAGAAAAGGAGAAGGAGAAAAGGAGAAGGAGAAAAGGAGAAGGAGAAGGAGAAGGAGAAAAGGAGAAGGAGAAAAGGAGAAGGAGAAGGAGAAAAGTGGTGGGTAGGGCCTTCTGAGTGATGGTGTCTCGTTGGCTTTGGCATCTACAGTCAGTTAGGCACTTTTCCTCCTGGCAAGGAAAAGCAACCTATTTTCCAATGCCTCACTTGTTCCATGACTTCTGAGCCTCTTGCTTCCCTCCCCCTGTTGCTACCACCTACATTTTTTGGCTAACAATCAGAGCTGGGCTGTAGCACAGCTGGTTAATTGCCAGCAGCAATAGATCACTGCTGACTGGAAGGTGGCAAGTTTGAAGCCCGAGTCGGATTGAGCACTCAACTGTTAAGCCTAGCTTACTGTCCACCTAAGCAGTTCGAAAACAGTTGAGCTGTGAGTAGAGAAATTAGGCACTGCTTAAAGTTGGGAGGTATGTTATGACACCACAAAAATGCTGGCGATCAAAGAACAAGGAGGAAATACAATGAAAATGAGTTGGTGTCATAATGGATGAAGCAACAGCACCCCTCAGTGGCTGGAATCAAGCATAACCTCCAGATGCCGAAATTGGAAAATGCCAAAATGCTTCTATCTGTCTGTCTGTCTTGTATGTGTAAAAATGGCATTGAATGTTTGCCGTGTATGCGTGCATTGTGATCCGCCCTGAGTCCCCTTTGAGATGAGAAGGGTGAAATATAAATACCGTAAATAAATAAATAAAACAGAAATCAACAGCTCAATACTAAAGGACTTTAGTCTCCCAGTGGAAATACCAGAAAATCCTCCATAATATTTATTTATTTATTTATTTATTTATTTATTTATTTATTTATTTATTTATTTAGAACTTTTGCATACCGGTCTTCTCACCTCTGTGGAGGGACTCAGGCCGGTTTCCAGCAATAATATCACAAGCAATCATTTAAAAACATCACATTCCACATTAAAATACCAAAAATACAATCATATAATTACAATAGCCAAGTCGTCACAATAAAATCGTTGTTCATCACCATCCATCCATCCATATAGCCACGAGTAATTGACTCACTCGTCAAATGCCAGTTTCCGGAGCCAAGTTTTCACCTGTTTTCTAAAAGTCAGCAGAGAAGGGGCAGTTCTAATCTCCAGTGGGAGGGAGTTCCAGAGCCGAGGGGCCACCACCGAGAAGGCCCTGTTTCTCGTCCCCACCAGGCGCGCTTGAGGCTGGTGGGACCGAGAGCAGGGCCCCTCCAGATATCTTAACAACCTTGATGGTTCGTAGGGGAGAATACGTTCGGAGAGGTAAACCGGGCCGGAGTCGTTTAGGGCTTTATAGGTTAACACCAGCACTTCGAATTGTGCTCGGAAGCTAATTGGCAGCCAGTGGAGCTGGCACAACAGAGGAGTCATATGCTCCCTGTACCCCACTTAATAGTAAGTGGAGGCAAAATTATGGAACTACTTGATAACGCAAAGGAATAACGATTTGACATGGAGATGCTCATGATAATGTTTTAAGGCTTTGTACTTTTAAAATATTTTATATCATATGCTATTGTTTTTAACAGAATTTCTTGATTGTTTTTACTTGTTATAATAGTTGAGGCATCGAATGGTTGCCAATTTGTGAACCGCTCTGAGTCGCCTCTGGGCTGAGAGGGGCAGTTTATTAATATAGTAAATAATAAATAAATAAATAAATAAATAAAATTCAAACTTCACAGAATTGCTCAACTTCACAGGACTGCATATGTACATATTACATCCTCCTTCCTCTCACATGAAATTGGGCCATAGGCTTCCATTTCTCCTTCCCCAATATACTTCACACACTTGTGTATATGTTGTGCGTCTTTGAAAAGTTGTTGACATATGGCAACCCTATTCCTGGGTTTTCTCATCAACGTTTGTTCAGAGAAGCTTGCCATTGTACACATCACTGAAAGGAAATCTCCTTGAAGAGAGGGTTTATTCCTCTATAGACATGTCTAGTATTGAACCAAGCCTAGATCCAACCATTGCTTTTAATTGATTTAGCGGTCTTTTCATTATCTTACCAACGTGCTGCTTCAAAGTATTTTTTTAGTGCTGAAAAAGCGGTACATGAATGTTTTTTTGTAAAATCCTTTGAAAGACGGAGGAGAAACGGTTGCTGGAGGAAATACCAGCTAAATGGTTGCAGACTTAGTTAAAATATTAGTCAGAGAAACACTGGCTTATTGGAGCCGACTGAGAGAAATATCTGCCCACCACTCGAGGGCTGCGGGGAAGAAGAGGCTCGAGGGATGGTCTCTCTTAGTCATCTTTCATGTTTACAAATGCAAACCACAACCTGCTTCGAGCTGTGCCCACTCGCTCCTCTGCTCCCTTGTGTGGGCTTTTACCTTTCCTCCTACGGCGTGTATCTAATTTTCTGTGCAAGCACTACAGGAGGGGAAAACAAACACACACACGCATCTCATAGCAAACTCACACATTGATATCCATGCTGATAGCTCTTAAAGTGTGAGGTTGACTTCCCCATAGAGGTGTGGGCGGGAAGCGGTCGAGCGAAGGAAAACCGAAGCAGAAACAAGAAGCACAAGAGTGGAATGGATATCCAAGAAGACATATGTGGACACATCCACGGAGAAGGAAGCAGGAGCAAGGAGGAGGGGAATGTATTTTTGAAAGATGAAAATGGCCATCGAGGGTCAAGAAGCCTGCCAGCATTTTCAGAGTCCTGTCGGAGTCACTTTATCAGAACATAGCAAAAGGCTATCTTACAGACAGCTGTTTTGATGTCAAAATAAAATACCTCCTTCCATCTTTACATGTTATGTAAAGAATGTTGAAATCATCACAGAATGTATTCAATGTATTCAGTCCTGTGGATGGACTTGGCTTGTTGCATTTAGCTGCCTTAAGTGAAGGATAAAATGAAGATTCGTCTTCTCCTAAAGCTGGCTCGACCCAAGAGTGTATTTTATTACAATGCTACACTGAGGAAAACGCTTCTCCACCTCCGCACTTGAGATAGTTGTGGGACCAAGAGGAGGGCCTCCCCTGTCGATCTCAGAGCCTACACTGGTTTGTAGAAAGAGATGCGGTCTCAAAGATAGGGCTTTATAGGCCTTCTCTCTCGTCCCCATCAACCACGCTTGGAACGGTGCTGGGACTGAAAAGAGGGCCTCCCCTATTGATCTCAGAGCCTGTGCCAGTTTGTAGAAAGAGATGCAATCTCAAAGGTAGACTGGACCTGAAGCATATAGGGCTTTATAGGTCCTCTCTCTCATCCTCACCAACCACACTTGAGATGGTGCTGGGACTGAGAAGAGGGCCTCCCCTGTCGATCTTAGAGTGGACACTGGTTTGTGGAAAGAGATGCAGTCTCAAAGATAGCCTGGACCCAAAGCGTATAGGGATTTATAGGTCCTCTCTCTCACCCCACCAACCATGCTTGAGATGGTGCTGGGACTGAGAAGAGGGCCTCCCCTGTTGATCTCAGAGCCTGTGCCAGTTTGTAGAAAGAGATGCAGTCTCAAAGATAGGCTGCACCTGAAGCGTATAGGGCTTTATACGTCCTCTCTCTCATCCCTGCTAACTGCACTTGAGATGGTGTTGGGACTGAGAAGAGGGCCTCCCCAGTGGATCTCAGAGCCCCCACCAGTTTGTAAAAAGAGAYGCAGTCTCAAAGATAGGCTGCACCTGAAGTGTTTAGGGCTTTATAGGTCCTCTCTCTCGTCCCCACCAACCGCGCTTGAGACGATGCTRGGACTGAGAAGAGGGCCTCCCCTGTCGATCTCAGAGCCTGTGCCAGTTTGTAAAAAGAGATGCAGTCTCAAAGATAGGCTGTACCTGAAGCGTTTAGGGCTTTATAGGTCCTCTCTCTCGTCCCCACCAACCGTGCTTGAGACAACGCTGGGACTGAGAAGAGGGCCTCCCCTGTCGATCTCAGGCCGACACTGGTTTGTAGAAAGAGATGCAGTCGCAAAGATAGGCTGCACMTGAAGTGTATAGGGCTTTATAGGTCCTCTCTCTCACCCCACCAACCATGCTGGAGATGGTGCTGGGACTGAGAAGAGGGCCTTCCCTGTTGATCTCAGAGCCTGTGCCAGTTTGTAAAAAGAGATGCAGTCTCAAAGATAGGCTGGACCTGAAGTGTATAGGGCTTTATAGGTCCTCTCTCTCACCCCACCAACCATGCTTGAGATGGTGCTTGGACTGAGAAGAGGGCCTCCCCTGTCGATCTCAGAGATGACATTGGTTTGTAGAAAGAGATGCAATCTCAAAGGTAGACTGGACCTGAAGCATTTAGGGCTTTATAGGTCCTCTCTCTCATCCCCACCAACCATACTTGAGATGGTGCTGGGACTGAGAAGAGGGCCTCCCCTGTCAATCTCAGAGCCGACACTGGTTTGTAGAAAGAGATATAGTCTCAAAGACAGCCTGGACCCAAATTGTATAGGGCTTTATAAGTCCTCTCTCTTACCCCACCAACCATGCTTGAGATGGTGCTGGGACTGAGAAGAGGGCCTCCCCTGTCGATCTCAGAGCCTGTGCCGGTTTGTAGAAAG